GAACGGCATCAAAGTGTGAAAATGTGGGCTGGTGGGGATACGCGAAGCGTCCAGAATTTGCTGGTACCCGTCATGCAGATCGGCGGGGTCAGGGTCCAAAAACATATGGGATTAGCCACATTTCTGAAATTCGGTGGCACCCCTCACGCAGATCGGCGGGGTCAGGGTCCAAAAACATATGGGATTAGCCACATTTCTGAAATTCGGTGGCACCCCTCACGCAGATCGGCGGGGTCAGGGTCCAAAAACACATGGGATTTGCCACATTTCTCAAATTTGCTGGTACCCGTCATGCAGATCGGCGGGGTCAGGGTCCAAAAACATAAGGGAATAGCCACATTTCTGAAATTCGGTGGCACCCTTCATGCAGATCGGCAGAGTCAGGGTCCAAACACACATGGGATTTGCCACATGTCAAATTCGGCGGCACCCCTCACGCAGATCGGCGTGGTCAGGGTCCAAAAGCAAATTGGATTTGCTACATTTGTGAGATTCGGCGGCACCCCTCACGCAGATCTGTCGGGCCAGGGTTTAAAAACACAAGGGATTTGCTACATTTCTGAAATTCGGTGGCACCCGTGACGCAGATCCGTAGGGTCAGGGTCGAAAAACAAACAGGTCCCGACACGGCTTCACGGCGGCGCCCAGACCTCATGATTTAGCTGGTGCATCTCCCATTCTCCGAGACAGGGGGCCGGCGGCATGGGGCGAAGCCCTTACGGACCACTCACCTCTGGACCGCCACCGATTTGGGGGGGCAGCTGGGAGCCCGCGGGGCCCTCCGCTGGAGCTGGGCGGAGCGGGGCGGGGCGCGCCGGGGCCCGCCCAGCGGGGCCCGGAAGCCCAGATCTCCGATGGCGCGTGCTTTGCCATCCCGCCTGCGCCCCGCCTGCGCCCGTGGGTGCCCCGGCGCCGCGGCGCGGCAGCTGCCACGGCCTCCGCTGGCGGGGCTGGCTGCGCCAGCACACTTGGGTGCGATCTCGTGCGCCTCCGAGCGGCCTAGTCTTCCCCCCCGCACCTCGCGGCCGCCCGCCCTGCCATTTCCCCCTCGTTGCATGCTGGCGCAATTCGCTTTTCGATGCCCCCGTCTGGCCTCCGCGCTGGTGCAGCCGACTCTGCCTCGCCGCCGACGGAAAACAGTTTGGCCAACTCGCGGCCGAGAGCCGCGGCCGTGACGCCTACACTGGATTTCACAATAACCAGGGGGTGGTCTGCTTTGGGGGCGTCCTGCTTGGAGCTGCTTGGGAGGGTTCCGCAGGGTCTGGGAAAAAGGCCGCCCTTTCATGGCTGGTCGGGGGGCTCTAAATTTGCTCGTCTGGGAGGGCTGTGACGCCCCCCCTCCTGTACTAAGCTCGGAGTGCACTTTTGTCCTAGTATTTCGGCGAGGAATAGGTTAGCTCCGCTCCCCGTTGTGCGAATCAAAGCGTCGCCAGGCAAACCAAGAACGTCTCACGAACCGACCTGCGACAGACGAGCTCCTGCAGTGAACCGGCCATCACGCCTACAACGGAGGATGACGATGGGCCGGCCTTCACCTGCAGACCGAAGAGCGCGCCGGTGTCTGCCTGGCGCGGCCTGGAAACCCAAATCTCCGACCATATGACTACTAAGCCAATCCAGGATCTTTTACTTGATTAAAACCTCTGGGGCATGTTGTCGGGAGCCAGGACCATCAAACAACGGGTCCAGAACGAAAACCTACCCGCAAGGAAGGGGTCGGGAAATTGAGAAGTCGTATCGGCGGATGTCTGGGAGGCAGTCGCGGGTGGGCGGGAGCCCTTGCTGGCTGGGGCCCTTCGCTTGATGCAAGGGGGTGATGGAAGGGGGAATGGCCACCTCTCGGATGCCGAGAGGGCGCCCTGGACAAGGCCGTTGCGGTTTGTCAGGCGGCTGTGCACAAATCCTTCAAAAACCTAATCAGGGATATAGGGCTATAGGGCTATTGAGGTATAGGGCTATAGAGCTATAGGGCCATAGAGTTGTAGGGCTATAAGGCTATTGGGCACCCCCGGGCACGCCCGGGCACCCGGGTACCCGGGCACCCGGGCACCCCCTGGGCACCCGGGCCCCGGGCACCCCCGGGCACCCCCGGGCAACCGGGCGTGCAGCGAAAATCGGCGACAAACCTAAGAGACAGCGCCCCGCGTCACCTCCTGCCCTCCTCCCCCGTCCAGTCCTGCCGCCCACATGCGTCCGCCACACGCAGTACAGCATTTCGTTGCCCCATAGGGAGCTCCACCGAAGGTCCCAGTGCTACCCCCCGCATGCGTCCGCCACACCCAATACAAGGTTTGGCGGCCCCATAGGGAGCTCCACCGACAGTGCCAGTGCTACCCCCCGCATGCGTCCGCCACACGCAGTACAGCGCTTCGTTGTCCCATAGGGAGCTCCCCCGAAGGTCCCAATACTACCGCCCGAATGCGTCCGCCACACCCAATTCAGAGCTTCGTGGCCCCATAGGGAACTCCACCGAAGGTGCCAATGCTACCGCCCGCATGCGTCCGCCACACCCAGAACAGCGTTTCGTGGCCCCATCGGGAGCTCCACCGAAGGGCCCAGTGCTACCCCCCGCATGCGTCCGCCACACCCAGAACAGCGTTTCGTTGTCCCATAGGGAGCTCCACCGAAGGTGCCAGTGCTACCCCCCGCATGCGTCCGCCACACGCAGTACAGCGTTTCGTTGCCCCATAAGGAGATCCATCGAATGTCCCAGTGCTACCGCGCGCATGCGTCCGCCACACCCAGTACAGCGTTTCGTGGCCCCATAGGGAGCTCCACCGAAGGTGCCAGTGCTACCCCCCGCATGCGTCCGCCACACGCAGTACAGCGTTTCGTTGCCCCATAAGGAGCTCCATCGCATGTCCCAGTGCTACCGCGCGCATGCGTCCGCCACACGCAGTACAACGTTTCGTGGCCCCATAGGGAGCTCCACCGAAGGTCCCAGCGCTACCGTCTGCATGCGTCACCCCCCACCCAGAACAGCGTTTCGTGGCCCCAGACAGCCCGCATGCGTTTCCCCCATCCAATACAGCGTTTGGCCCGATACGGAGCTCCACCGACGGCCCCAGTGCTACTGCCCGCATGCGTCCCCCAACCAATACAACGTTTCGTGGCCCCACATGGAAATTCACCGACGCCGCCAATGCTACCGCCCGCATGCGTCCGCCACACCCAGCACAGCGTTCCGTGGCCCCATCGGGAGCTCCACCGAAGGTCCCAGAGCTACCGCCCGCATGCTCCCCCACCCAGTACAACGTGTGGTGGCCCCATAAGGAGCTCCATCGAACGCCCTAGTGGCACCGTCCGCATGCGTCTCCCCCACCCACTACAACGCTTCGTGGCCCGATACGGAGCCCCACCAAAGGCCCCATTGGAACCGTCCACGTGCGTCACCCCCCACCCAGTACAGCGTTTGGTGGCGCCATAGGGAGCTCCACCGACGGCCTCAATGGCCCCGTCCACATGCGTCTCCCCCACCCAGTACATCGTTTCGTGGCCCCATAGAGAGCTCCACCGAAGGCCCCAGTGGCACCGTCCACATGCGTTTCCACTACACAGTACAACGTGGCCCACAGAGAGCTCCACCGACAGCCCCAGTGGCAAAGTTCGCATGCGTCTCCGCCACCCAGGACAGCGTCTCGTGGCCCATAGGAAGCTCCACCGAAGACGATACCCACAACTGAACTGCGGAACTCACAACTGCACATGATTGGGTCCTTCGGCAAGATAATTTGTACTTCTGGAGGCTCTTGGAGCCGTCTCGGGCGGAACTGGCAGCCTGTGGAGCCGCCGGGACGCAACTTTGGGCCATCTACCAGGACTGCGAGGCCGTCTTCAGCCCCTCTGAAGCCGTCTGGGAGCCATCTTGAACCGTCTTGGACCTCTCATGGAACATCTTGAGGCGTCTAGGGCGCACCAGCGACCGTCTAGGACCGCCCCGGGAGCGCTGGGAGCCTGCCCTGGCCGAGTTCCGCCAGTGCCATCTCGTACGCGCTAATCCCGACATTGTAGAATAGATCATGTTGGGCTTCACCTTCGTCTCGAGCACATCGGTGAGAACCGACGACGCCAAATGCCAACGGCTGCCCCCTCCGCAAGCGCCAGCGGTAGCGAAATACTAGCCTACGCTGATGGTCATGCGCTGTTGAAATGCTTCGCTCCATTGCTTCTTCCTCCCGCACTGCTTAATATCCGCGTCAATGTATTCCAATCCAAGTCCGCGCAGGTGGCGGGATGGGGGAGAAAGGGAGGATGGAGGCATGAAAGGAAGGCGGGGATGTGGGAGAGAGGTGGGCGTTGGCGATCAGGGGGGAGGCAACTGGAGTATCTTCCTCGGGTTTCGCTAGGACATGCGGCGGACGATGCAGACCTGAACGCTCTGGGTCCTGCCTGTGGCTGGGGGGTGATGTCCTTGCACGACGAGGTGGTGGAGGACGAGAGAAGGAGGAGGAGGAGGAGGAGGAGGAGGAGGAGGAGGAGGAAGAGGAGGAGGAGGAGGAGGGGGAAGAGGAGGAAGAGGAGGAGGAGGATGAAGAGGAGGAGGAGGAGAATGAGCAGGAGAATGAGGATTGGGGGGGGAGACCGAGGAAGAAAGGGAGGCCGGGGCGAGGCCCGTTGCAAAGCGAGGAGGAATCGCAAAGGCAAGATTCCTTCCCTGCAGGCAAAGAGGAAGAGAGAGGGAAGGCAGGAGGAGGAGGAGGAGAGGGGGGGAGGAGGAGGAGGAAGGTTTCGGGGAAAGGGACACCAGAACGCGCCTGGGGCGAGCCTCAAGATCCAACTGGACATAGGCGGAACAGCAGATCCGACCCGAATGCAGGCTGGGTAAGGCCGAGGGAGAGCGGACACAGCTCCCCCAGGCAAAAATGAGTCAGAGCGCGCCGCACCCTGATGCAAAAAGTTGTGGCTCTCAGCACGGGTTGTCCTCGCAAGCTCAACGCCCAACGTCCTCCTCCTCCTCCTCCTCCTGCTATTCCCCTCAACTTGGGCCGTTAGTCCAACGCTCAACCACACGTCGCCATGTAGGCGATCAAATCCGCGCGCTCTTTCTCCTTCTTGATGCCCGCGAAGACCATCTTCGTGCCGGGAATATACTTTTTCGGGTTGACGAGGTACTCGTACATGTGCTTGTGAGACCAATCGGGAAGCGGGAGGTGGTGGGGAGGATTGAGTATGCAGGTGTGGAGATGAGAGGACGGAGGAGGTAGAGAGCACAGCATAAGGCAAACGTGAAAAGGAGCACGCTGCTGATGCGGGCGACCACGAGGCAGGTAATGGGGACGACTATGATGATGTTGATGTTGATGTTGATGTTGATGGTGATGATGTTGATGACGATGATGATGCTGCTGATGCTTATGCTGATGCTGATGCTGTTGTTGATGCTGCTGATGTTGATGACGATGATGATGCTGCTGATGCTTCTGCTGATGCTGATGCTGCTGCTGATGCTGCTGCTGATGATGCTGTTGCTGATGCTGCTGATGATGCTGCTGATGATGATGCCCGTGATGACGACGAGGCCGATAATGATGCTGCTGATGATACCGATGATGCTGATGATGGCAACGGCGACGATGATGATGCGGGTGATACTGATACTGCTTATGTTGATGCTAATGTTGGTGATGATGCCGATGACGACAACGATGGCGATGATGATGCTGATGGTGATGCTGCTGCTGATGATGATGATGATGATGATGATGCTAATGATGATGATGCTGACTATGACTATGAGTGTGATTTTGGTACTACTGCTGATGATTACGCTGCTGATGATGAGGATGATGATGATGCTGTTGCTGATGATGCTGATGACGATGCTGATGACGATGCTGATGCTGCTGCTGCTGATGATGATGCTGATGCTGGTGCTGGTGCTGATGATGCTGATACTGACGATGATGATGATGATGATGCTGATGATGATGATGCTGATGATGATGATGATAATGATGATGATGATGATGATGATGATGATGATGATGATGATGATGATGATGATGATGATGATGATGATACTGATACTGATACTGATGCTGCTGATGATCATCATCATCATCATCATGGTGGTGGTGATGTTGATTGTGATGATGACGATTGTTATGATCAGATCTGGTGTCCTGGAGCCCCGAATGTTTGGCCTCGGAGTGGGGGTGCATATGCCCCTGCTGCTGCATCCTGGGACCGTGGGGCCCCCTCCCCCAGAAAGGGCGCCGGCCCGGCCAAGTTTCAGCCTCTCGCGGCGCGCAGCCACGGGACGGGGCTGGCCGGGGGCAGATAGTGCACCCCCAGGAGCGAGCTCTGCCGTCGAAGTCCCCTTCCCGAGCCCTTGCGAGAGCGAGGGGGATGCCCGCGGGCGTGGGAAGAGTGCCCGTCGGTGCTCGAGGAGCGGGCGGGTCACAACCTTCAGGGGGCGTCTGGCCCCTGGCCGGGACTGCGGCGAGGGTCCCAAAGGGGGGGAGCGCTCTGCGCTGCACGGCTCGGGCGAGAGCCGAGGGAGGCTCGAGGGGCATGCGCGGACGCGGCGTCGAAGTGGGCGCGGCACGCAGCGCAGGCGACGTGCGCACGCGGCTGCTCAGCAGCCGGGAGATCCGCCTCCCAGCCGGTTGCCCAGCAGCCGAGCCCCAGGCGGAGAGCGGTCCCGCCCTGCTGCGCGAGGGCCGCCCCTCCCCCGTGCCTGCTCCGCGGGGGACGCGCCGGTGCGGGCGGCGATCGCCGAGCCGGAACGCGGGCGAGGCCGCCCGAGCAGGGCTCTCCTGAAGGGGCCCCGGGACACGCAAACAAATAGACAGAGAGAACAGGATGCCCCCAATATCTTCTCATGTTTTCTGGTATTTTGTCCTCCCCCCCACTTCCCATCTTTTCTATATTTTCCCAGGTTTTCTGGGGGATCGACGATTTAATTGTGTCTGTGTGTTTTTTGTTTTTTTCCCTCCTGATCTCCACCTGCTTTCGCAGCAAGGCGGTCCGAGACACTGGGAGCTCAAGCTCGGCCCCAAGATGCCTCCCGAGGCCCGAGCGCAGTAGTCTTCCGCGCTGCGTCGAGCTGCGTCCGAGGCTGTGGCTGACGCAGGGGCCCCCACCCCCTCCCCCCCCCGAAGGCCAACCACCAGTGTCTCCTCCGTCCTCCCCCCTCCTCCCCCTCCTCCTCCCTCCCCTCTTCCTCTCCTCCTCCTCCTCCTCCTTCCTCCTCCTCCTCCTCCTCCTCCTCCTCCTTCTTTCCTCCCCCTCCCCCCCCTCCTCCCCCTCCCCCTCCCCCTCCCTCTCCCCCTCCCCCCTCCCCCCCACTCCCCCTCACCCCTCCCCCTCCTCCTCCTTCCTCCTCCTTCTCCTCCTCCTCCTCCTCCTCCTCCTCCTCCTCCTCCTCCTCCTTTCCTCGTCTCACCGAGCCTTCACTTTTAGTTTCAGTGCCTCGAGGCGGATGCCTGGCCGAATCCAGGCCTTTGCCGCTTTTCGCTTCGCATCCTCTTGCCACTCTTTTCCACCTGCTCGCGAGCTCTCTCGCTCTGCAGGCCCCGGCAGGCCCTCCCGCTCGGAAAAAAAAAAACAAAAAAAAAAGAAAAGAAAAAAGAAAAAAAAAAAAGAAAAAAAAAAATAAAGAAAAAAAAAGAAATAAAAAAATAGGCGCGCGGGCCCCCCTCGAACCCGCGCTCTTCCGAAGGCCCCGGCATGCTCCCCCAACCTGCGAGAGCCCGTGGAGCTGGCGAGCCCCCTGAAGGTCCGGGCATAGACAAGCGCGCTCCACGACTCGCAGAGTACCCGCTCGCACCTGGCCTGGACCCGCCGCGTGGGACTTGCGATCCATGACGCCGATGAAGACCTGCTTTTCTCGGACGTTTGCGAGCAGGCACGTTCCGGGCCGGGCGAACGGGGGGGATTGCAACAAAAAAAAAAAAAAAAAAAAAAAAAAAAAAAAAAAAAAAAAAAAAAAAAACAAAAAAAAAAAAGAAAAACAAAAAAAAAAAAAAAAAAAAAAAAAAAAAAAAAAAAAAAAAAAAAAAAAAAAAAAAAAACAAAGGGGGGGGTTTGAGAATCAGCTCACTGCTGACTTTCCCACGGCGCCTCCCGGCGCCGGGAGGCGCCCATGTATACATGGGTGCCTCCCGGCGCCGGCGGCGGCGGGGCGGCGGAGGCGGAGGAGGAGGAGGAGGAGGAGGAGGAGGAGGAGGAGGAGGAGGAGGGAGGAAAGGGGGAAGGGGCCGAAACCAGCGGCCCGGCGGCGGGGCCGAAATCAGCTGCATGCAGCAGATTTCGTACCCCCCCCTCTCCCTGGATCCCCCCCCCTTTCGTCCGGTGTTTTGCAATTTCGTGGACCGTTTTCGTTTTGACGTCGTTCTGCAACAAATGTGGAACGAAGACAGAACTAGGAATGACGAAAACAAGCCGAAAACGGAAAGCACTGTTTAACTCGAGCCCTGGTACCAGGGAAGCGGTCCAAACCATCGAACAATTTGGAGCAGCCGGATGTCCGAGTTGGCAAACTTTCGGATTGCGTTCCAAACCATGCTTAAGTCGGGCGTGTCCCCCTACAGGTAGATTTCCGAAGAAAAATTAGGAATACCCCCAAAATTACCCTGGCGACGTACCCAACCCCTGCGCAAAAGCGGGGCGCAAATAGTTTAGGATACTTTATAAGGGGGCGATGACGGAGCGAGGGTTACATATGTCTGCAGACGGAATTCGGAGGACTCGCAGGACACACTGGCTACAGGAAAAGGGCTTGATAAAGCTGATGATTTACAATTCCTGAGCACTCCTAGCCACTTCGCAGCCTCGAAAATGGCGACAGTTTCACAGATCGCAGCCCCCCAGGGATGGCGAGGTCTAATTTGAATCCGCGCGTGGCCCTCACTGTGCTGGGCCCCCCAGCAGGCCTCGAAAATGGCGACAGTTTCGCAGATCGCAGCCCCCCAGGGATGGCGAGGTCTAATTTGAATCCGCGCGTGGCCCTCACTGTGCAGGGCCCCCCAGCAGGCCTCGAAAATGGCGACAGTTTCGCATATCGCAGCCCCCCAGGGATGGCGAGGTCTAATTTGAATCTGCGCGTGGCCCTCACTGTGCTGGGCCCCCCAGCAGGCCTCGAAAATGGCGACAGTTTCGCAGATCGCAGCCCCCCAGGGATGGCGAGGTCTAATTTGAATCCGCGCGTGGCCCTCACTGTGCTGGGCCCCCCAGCAGGCCTCGAAAATGGCGACAGTTTCGCAGATCGCAGCCCCCCAGGGATGGCGAGGTCTAATTTGAATCCGCGCGTGGCCCTCACTGTGCTGGGCCCCCCAGCAGGCCTCGAAAATGGCGACAGTTTCACAGATCGCAGCCCCCCAGGGAGGGCGAGGTCTAATTTGGATCTGCCGCGATTACCCTCTATGCTGGACCCCCCAGCAGGCCTCGAAACTGGCGACAGTTTCACAGATCGCAGCCCCCAGGGATGGCGAGGTCTAATTCGAATCTGCCGCGATTACCCTCTATGCAGGACCCCCCAGCAGGCCTCGAAAGTGGCGACAGTTTCACAGATCGCAGCCCCCCAGGGATGGCGAGGTCTAATTTGAATCTGCCGCAATTACCCTTTATGCCGGACCCCCCAGCAGGCCTCGAAAGTGGCGACAGTTTCACAGATCGCAGCCCCCCAAAGATGGCGAGGTCTAGTTTGAATCTGCCGCGATTAACCTTTATGCTGGACCCCCCAGCAGGCCTCGAGAGTGGCGACAGTTTCACAGATCGCAGCCCCAGGGATGGCGAGGTCTAATTTGAATCTGCCGCGATTACCCTCTATGCCGGACCCCCCAGCAGGCCTCGAAAGTGGCGACAGTTTCACAGATCGCATCCCCCCAGCGATGGCGAGGTCTAATTTGAATCTGCCGCGATTACCCTCTATGCTGGACCCCCCAGCAGGCCTCGAAAGTGGCGACAGTTTCACAGATCGCAGCCCCCCAGGGAGGGCGAGGTCTAATTTGGATCTGCCGCGATTACCCTCTATGCTGGACCCCCCAGCAGGCCTCGAAAGTGGCGACAGTTTCACAGATCGCAGCCCCCCCCCCCCCAGGGATGGCGAGGTCTAATTTGAATCTGCCGCGATTACCCTCTATGCTGAGCCCCCCAGCAGGCCTCGAAAGTGGCGACAGTTTCACAGATCGCAGCCCCCCAGGAATGGCGAGGTCTAATTTGGATCTGCCGCGATTACCCTCTATGCTGGACCCCCCAGCAGGCCTCGAAACTGGCGACAGTTTCACAGCCCCCCGCAGGCAAGACAGAAAGAGGCAGGAAAGAGGCGGGAGGCGGGAGGAGGAAGGACGCGACCACACTGCTCTATTCAAAACGAATACTCAACCAAGGAGGGTTGGGAATAATAATAAAAAAAATGTCCAAACATAGTCTGGGGACTACTGTGTAGTATTTTTGACCTTTGTGGAATATTTTAGGGGTATCTTTAATTTTCCGTCGGAAATGCCCCTGTAGGGGGACATGCCCGACATAACACCATGCTCGTTGTGCTTGCACGGCCTGGCTGCGGCTGCGACCGGGCGGCCCCTCTGCCCTCCTCGTCGAGCAAAAAGAGGAGGGGCGAGGACTGTAGCACTTGTCTTCGCGCGTATATCCGAGGAGGCCAAGGGCAGGGGCACGCCATGCTACAACGCACTGACGTGAACCACCGCGTGAGCGACTCTGCGAAACCACGCCGCGTCTCGTGGTTCGCGGTCATATCTTCGCGACTGCGAAACTCGTCCGTCACACAACAGCGGCCCTGAGTGTCCTCCCACCGCGTCCGCCCACAACGAGACGGGCGTGTGGGTTGTTCCCGGGTGGAGCTCGTCGTATCGCACGTCCAGTGAGTCTCTCGAGCGTAGTAGGTGTCTACGCCCACGACAGTGACTCCTCAATCTAAATGTGTTCTGCCCGAAGCACTTTGCACTGCGCGTGATTCGATCCGCGCCTGTGCGCCCACTGCCAACGCCTTCTCTGCATGCACACCTCTCCGTCTGGCAACATTTGTAGTGCCACTGCTCGTGAGTCATGCGCTTGCAGCATCATCTACCCAGGTCTGAACGAGTTGCAGTAGGGTCAAGCACTCACACATTGCGCGGTATACGACCTCCCTACGCAACAACAACTTGTCATTTGCCAGCGCTCGCGCCATGTACTGGCAAACCAATGTTGCATATTTGCGCTGGCCACGCCCTCCAAGAGCAATGCAATACGAAGCCACTTCAGGGCCATTGAGGAGGATGGGGAGGAGGATGCGGGAGGAGGAACGGCGAGGGAGGAAGACGCAGATGGAAGGATGGCCGAGAAGAAGGGGGAAGCAGAGAGGAGGGAGGAGGGCGAAGAACACTTTTTGGAAAAACGGTGGGGAAGGAAGTGGAGACGACGACCTGGACGATCAAGGAGAAATGTGTGACGTGTCGGAGGTTGCCAAAAGGTGCCCCTGGCCCAGGGTACCCGCAGCTTTTCGTTCTGTTTTGATGAGGCACCTGAGGCAGGATAGGGGTTCTCTGGGGGCCGTCGTCTCTTTTGAACTCTTGGGGGCACCTTGGGCCATGGGGCGCTTCCTGGCAACACCCGATTGTGGGGAGTCCGACCAGATGATCCCGGAGTTCTTGTTGGCCTCGGAATAGGCGAAGCCCTCCAGGGTGCCAGACTGCCGGCCGAAGACGCCCCACAGGGGCGGGCCTCCGCGGGGGAGGAGCAGAAAGAGGAGGAGGAGGAGGAGGAGGAGGAGGAGGACGAAGAGGCGGAGGAGGAGGAGGAGGAGGATGAGGAGGAGGAGGAGGAGGAGGGGAAGGAGGAGGAGGAGGACGACGAGGAGGAGTGGAGAGAGAGAGAGAGAGAGAAAGAGAGAGAGAGAGAGGAGCAGAAGAGACGCAGAGATGTCGGAGATTGTGAGGATGCTCCCAGGAGAAAGGGCGACGAGGAGGGAGGTCGAGGATGATGATGAGGATGGACCATAATCAAAGAGGCGGGTGATGAGAAAGAGGAGGAAGAAGAGGAAGGGAAGGATGAAGAGGAGGAAGAGGAGGAGGAGGCGGAGGAGGAGAGGGAGTACAGAGGCTGTGGAGACATCGGGATGAAGAAGAGGAAGAGCGGGATGAGGAAAGGGATGGAGCAGGAATATACAGGGAGGGATGAGTGAGGCAGGGGACTGGAATGGAGAAGGGGAGACGGAGGAGTGGGAAGGGAGGGAACGAACGCACGGAAGAGGAAGAGGAGGCGGAGGTGAGCTGAGTAGGAGGTGGAAGAGCACGAGGAGAAGAAGAAACATGATAATGTTATCGGCAGATTGCACAATCTTCAGGGGGCAGGTCCCTACAAACAGAATTTGATCAACGGGACAATGTGAAACACACATATCCTGGCAACAGACCCAATAATATGAAAATGTGAATACCGCAAGGCAGGTGGGACGAAGGAAATGGAAGTCCCTATGGGGTTTAGAAGCGTGTGAAGGGTGTGCCGACATGGGGAGGTGCCGCCATGAGGCCGCTGGCACTGGCGCCGTTGGTGGAGCTCCCTATGGCTTATGGGGACACGCAACGTGTGAGGAGTGTGCCGAAAACAAGCACCGACGCCATGGGGACCCTGGCAGTTGGACCTTCGGTGGAGCTTCGCGTGGGGCCATGATGCGTTTGAGTGTTGTGCCGATATCGGTGCGGCGCCGCCTTGCAGACGCGACAGCCAGAGTCTTAGCTGGAGCTCTCAATGGGGCCACGAAGAGTGTGAAGGGTGCGCCGACATGATGCGACGACGCCATGCGGACCCTCATTTGGGTCGTTGCTGGTGCTTCCCATGGGGCCATGGAAGATGTGAGGGGTGCGCCGACATGAAGCGGCGCCGCCATGCGAAATCTGGCTGGCATTTGGGCCTTAGTTGGAGCTGCCCATGGGGCCACGAATGATGTGAGTAGCGTGCCGAATGAGGCGGCGACGCCATGCGGACCCTTGCATTCGGACTTTTGTTAGAACTCCCCATGGGGCCACGAACTGTATGAGGGGTGTGCCAACATGAGGCGGCGCCATGCGCACCCTGGCATTTGTGCCTTAAATGGAGCTCCCCATGGGACCACGAAATATATGAGGGCTGTGCCGAAATGAGGCGGCGACGCCACGCGGACCCTGGCACTTGGGCCTCAATTGGAGCTCCCGTGAAGGGTGTGCCGACATGAGGCGGCGACGCCATGCGGACCTTGATATTTTGGCCATAGTTGGGGCTCCCTACTGGGCCGAGAAGCATGTGAGGGATGTACAGACATAAAGCGGCGACGGACCGTGGCATTTGGGCCTTAGTTGGAGCTTCTGATGGGGCCGCCACGAAGCGTGTGAAGGCTGGCTGGTGGCCACTGTGGGCATTCTTTGAGGGCTGCAGGGACAGCACCCCGAGGGCAGCCGGGAGGTGGACCAGCCGCGGCCTGACCTCAGTCGGCTCCCACATCCGCGCACAGGGGACAACAGCTCCGGTGGAAGGAGGGTGTGCCGAGACGAAATAGCGACGCCATGCGAACCCTGGTACTTGAACCTTCATTGGAGCTCCTCAGGGGGCCACGAAAGTGGATGGGGACGACTATGAGGACATGCGGAGGGCCGAGACAAGGATAGGAGGATGGAGATAGGGATGGGGGGAGAAGGAGGAACGAGGACGTGGGGCCCTGCCTCTTCAAAACGAGGACCCCACACCAAAAGATGGTTAGGAAATACCAGACAGTTGTGTATTCCAACCCTCACTTTAGTTGGGTCCTCGTTTTGAACAGAGCCCCGCATGCTCCAAGCTTCCTCCTCCTCTTCCTCCTCCTCCTCATTATCTGTCGGGTCCTCCCAACCCCTGTCCTGGGGCTGCACATGACGGGCGGCACGGAACTGGAGGAAACCTGCACCATCGTCTCTGGATGCCGACTCGTCTTAAAGAGATGGCCTGAAGGGGCAGTTGCCCAGGTCATTTGCATACTACGGGGGGCGTGCGACTGAGACACAGCGAGGTGCGGGGTAGCCAGGAGGCAAGCAAATGGGGCAACGGTGATGGAAGAAAGAAACCAGGATGGTTCATTATGAAGGGCCAGGCCAGGCATGATGCGATGTCGGGCGCTTGGCCAACTATCTGACAACATCGGGACCGTGCTTTCAGAAGAGGAGGTGGTGTAAGGGCATGCTGAGGCAGAATTGGAAGAGGGGGAGAAGGGAAGGGCCACATGAAGATGAAGAAACAAGGCAGAGGCAGGACGGGCAGCGGAGGGGGAAAGGCATCCTGGAATGATGCGGAAAAGGGACACTGACAGCCTTGCTTGGCATTACCGCCCTTCTCGATCGTGTGACACTGCGCGCACTTTGCCTTGAACAACTTCGCCCCCTTCTTCACCTCGCCATCCGGCACCTCGGGAAGAAGAGGTGATCCATAAGCCAGGGCAGGATAGCGAACGAGGAGCAGAACACATGATGACAGAAGGGGAACACCACAGAGACGAAGCATGATGAAAGTGAGGATTCTGATTCTGATCATGGCGATGGGGGAGGCGTGCAACTCGGGTTCGGGGGACTCAGGTCGGCCTGACGGGGCCATCATTAGAGCGTGAATTACCTCCCCCGCTTTCGCTTCCAGGCAAAACCAAGCCATACCACGCGCCTCCTCGTCAAGCGGCCTGACCAGTACAGGCCGCAATTTGGCATCGTTTGGTATCTCTTGGAAGCGAGGGTGGTCAAAAGCGAGGTAGGTTTGTTTTCCCCCGACATCATGAAAACGACGAGACCCCATCTGAAACTCGACACGAGCCCTCGCTGCAGACATCCCACGCAAGCCGGGCCCTCAAAAGCCAGGACGCGCTCGCCACGGAGCGTCGGCAAACCCGAGCTCTGGCGCACTCGAGCCTTACGTTTCCCATACGCTCCACCCAGAGGAGGAGGAGGAGGAGGAGGAGGAGGAGGAGGAGGAGGAGGAGGAGGAGGAGGAGGAGGAGGAGGAGGAGGAGGAGGGCGAGGACACCGCCACGACGACGACGACGACGCCGCGTCGCGGCCAGAAGGCTGCCGCCGTGCCCCGCCGGCCACGCGCGCGGGAGCCCCCGGCAGCGGCCTCTGGGCGCCTCCGCCGCCTCGCCCTTCGCCCTCGCGGGGCTGGGCGTCGTCCCTGGCGCCAGGCAACGCCCAGGGCCGGGCGGCGGGCCATTTGGGCTACAGGCAGAATTGACTGCACAGGACGCGCGACAGGACACCAGAACCCTCCGACGGCAGCACGGCCTCCAACAAGGGCCCCCCCCCCCCCGGGACTGCAGAGGACACGACGCGCGACGCATAGGACACAGAGTCGACCTACTACTCCGGGCCGACTGCAGAGGCAGGAACGTCTGCACAGCGTGTCGCCCCGGCGGCGGCTCCAGCGACACACTGTGCCCTGCAAACGGATGGCGCGTCGTCGCTCCGCTCCGTCGGATAGCGCGCCGCTCCGCTCCGCGGGGCGGGAAGCTCGGAAAGGGGGACCTTGACGCCGGGGGGCGCCAGCGGTGGGCCCAGACCGGCGGCGCGACACGTGCTACAGTCGATCCGCATCATAAGGACGCACCATGAGGATGCAAGGGCCTCGGACGTCCATGTCGAAGCTTCTCGGGCGGGGCGCGGCCCACGAGAGTGGCCGAGGCTGGACCGAGGCGGCAAGGATGCGGGGGCATCCCTGGGAGACTTGCCCATCGTCACTACGAGGGGGCCGACTGTATCCCAACGTCCTCGACCCTATCCGCACCCATCGCGCGCGAGCCCGCAGCGGCGCCGCGCCCAGCGGCGCTGCGGCCCGCGGGCAGCCGTGCTAGCGGCGCACCGTGCGCCGCCGAGGCCTCCCGCGGGGTATCGGCCCCGCTCGCGGCCCGCCCTGGGCGTCGGCACGCCGCGCCGGGGCCTCGGGGCGGTGCGAGGCCGCGCTGCGCCGCGCCGTCGCCAGCGGCGGCTCCCGGTGCACGCGGGCTCCCTCAGGCAGGGTCGGCGCCACGGCCGGCCGACCGCTGCGCGAGCGCGGGCTCGTCTCCCGATCGGCGTCAGCCGCGAGGCCGTCGTCGTCAAGGGGGGGCAGCAGGGCGGCCCGCCCCTCGCACAACCAAACCTGCTGATGCGGATGATGCTGCTGCTGCTGCTGCTCCTGCTGCTGCTGCTGCTGCCGCTGCTGACGATGACGATGACGATGACGATGACGATGATGATGACGACGATGATGATGATGACGATGATGATGATGATGATGCTGATGCTGATGACGATGATGATGATGATGATGATGATGATGATGATGATGATGATGATGATGATGATGATGACGATGCTGATGACGATGATGATGATGGTGACGATGCTGATGACGATGATGATGCTGCTGATGCTGATGACGATGATGACGGTTGCTGGTGATGGTGCGGCTCTTGACGATGCCGGTGACGACGATGATGATGGCGATGGCGATGTCGATCATGATGAAGATAATGATCATGATAGTGGTGACGCTACTGGTGATGATGCAGATGACGATGATGATAGGGCGCCTCGACGTCGGGCTCGGCCATGGGCATGGTCACTGCTGTTAGTGTCTGCGCGACGGAAGGCAAAATGTCTGCTCGACTGGATCCTTCGCGCCTTGAGCCAAAACCTGCCAGCACCAAGAAGGATGAGATGAAATGAGACGACTCGCAGGAGGACCGTCCGAGGAGGAAGAGACCAGCCTAAAACAAAACTGAGGGGAGGGTTGCACCATCGAGGGGGATTTTCGCGACAGGTGCACCCTCTCCCACTAAACAAGAACATGCGCGAGCTCAGGATAACACAAATGATCGTCGTTGTCGTCATCATCGTGGTCTCCGAAGGCGTCTGGAGGCCCCACCCATAGCGTCCGATTAGAGCTGGAATCCAGAATCCCCAAACAGCGCTTTTAGAACCCCGCGGTGGTTCCTTAAATTGTTCGCTCGTCTTCCAAATCATTCGGCGGTGGACAAACCTCCCTTTAGTAGACCTCCCCTTAGTGAAAGCGGCCTGGGACCGAAACCGACGGACCTGGACCCGAAAAATGACGGCCGCGACGCCTTCTCGCGAACCGAAAACGGCCGATTCCTTAATCGACGTGTCAGGGTGGGAGGTCTATCCACCCCCGAATCATCGTCAGCCTTCCGTCCCTGATCGGCCCAAGGTCCGGAACTTGCGTTGCACAGCGTGTCGCCGCGGTAAATGGCTCCGGCGACACGCTGCGCCCTGCAAGCGGATGGCGCGCCGCTCCGCTCCTGCAGGGCGGGACGCTCGGACAAAACTCGGGGCGCTGACGCTGGGGGGCCCGGAAATAGATGGCGTGTCGCGCCGAAGCGTGATGGGCCAGAACTGGCGGAGCGACACGCTGTCCAAAAATCCCGAATGTACCTCCTCATCTTCGACTCGTCGTCGTCGTCGTCGTCCTCCGCCTCCTCTTCCTCTTCTCGCCCTCCCCCTCACCTTCCCGCCCTTTTGCTCCTCTCCTCCTCTCGCTCCTTCACCTTCCGCCTCCTCCCCGTCCTCGTCGTTGTGCTCCTCCTCGTGATCCTCGTGCTCCTCATCCTCCTCTCCTTCCCCCCCTCGATGTCCTCCGTGTCTTCTTCGTCCTCCTTTTCCTCCTCCCTGTTCTTCTCTTGCTCCTCCTCCTCCTCCTCCTCGACCTCCTCCTCCTCCTCTCTCCTCTCTCCTCTCTCCGCTCTCTTCTCCTCGTCTCCTCCTCCTCATCCGCCCCCTACCTCCTCCTCCTCCTCCTCCTCCTCCTCCTCCTCCTCCCTCCTCCTCCTCCTCCTCCTGTTCCTCCTCCGCCTCCTCTCTCCGCCACGGTTTCCTGTCTCCCAGAGATATGAGGGACGCCCTCACATTCTGGACTCCGTATCTCAGAAGTCCTCTCGCGAGGGACGCCCTCGCACTCTGGACTCGCGCGCTCGATCGAGACTTTCTCACGCTTTGCAGACGCCGCTCCCGCTTGGGACCTCCTGTCAGTATGCCACGGATTCGTGAACTCGCCGCGGCCGTGTAGTAAGGATGTGGGATATGGATGCCACGGCCTTGGACGCCCATGTGGAAGCTTTTCGAGCGGGACGCGGCCAACGAAAGTGGCCAAACGTAGACAGAGGAGGCAAGGATGCAGGGGTACCCTTCGGAAGGTTGCCAATCCCTACGATGCGGGTTGACTGTACCTCCTCCTTCAGGGGTACCCAGACCCCCTCCTGGAGCACACTGCGGTACCTGACATGCAACCTAATATTCAAATTTATTTTCCTGGCGGAAGGCCCAACCATATGCAGTTGTGAATACCGTCGTTGCGAGTCTCGCCCTCGGGGGATCTCCTTAAGGGGCCATGCAGCATGCGAAGGGTGTGCCAATATGGGGCGGGGCCACCATGTGGGCGCTGCCACTGGGGCGTCAAGTGGAACCCACGATAGGGGCCCCACACCACTGAACTAGGTGGGGGGCATGCATGCGAACACCGCCGCTGGTGCCTTCGGTGGTGCTCCCTATGGGGCCACGAAGCGCTGTATCTGATGGGGGTACGCATGCGAACATCGCCACTGAGGCCTTCGGTGAATCTCCTGATGGGGCCACGAAACGCTGCCCTGGGTGGAGGAGACGCATGTGAACACCGCCACTGGGGCATTCCGTGGAGCTCCCAACGGGGCCACGCAACGCTGTGTATCGGGTGGGAGAACGCATGCGAACACCGCCACTGGGGCCTTAGGTGGAGCTTCCGATGGAGCCACGAAGCGCTGTACTCGGTGGGGGAGGCGCGTGCGAACATCGCCACTGGGACCTTCGGTGGGGCTCCCTAAGGGGCAACGAAGCGCTGTACTGGGTGGTGGCGGGGGGGACACATGTGAACATCGCCACTGAGGCCTTCGGTGGAGGGGCAACGAAACGCTGTAATGGGTGGGGGGACGTGTGCGAACACCGCCACTGGGGCCTTTGCTGGAGCTCCCGATGAAGCCACGAAGCGCTGTACTGGGTGGGGGGCACGCATGCGAACACCGCAACTGGGGCCTCCGGTGGAGCTCCTAATGGGGTCACGGCGTTCTGTACTGAGTAGGAGATACGCATGCGCACACCGCCGCGGGGGCCTTCGATGGAGCTCCTTATGGGGCCATGAAGCGCTGCACTGGGTGGGGAATACGCATGCGCACACCGCCACTGGGGCCTTCCGTGGAGCTCCTGATGGGCCAACGACGCGCTGTACTGGATATGGGGAGACGCATGCGACCACCGCCTCTGGGGCCTGCCGTGGAGCTCCCTATGGGGCCACGTATCGCTGTACTGGGTATGTGAACACCGCCGCTGGGGCCTTAGGTGGAGCTCCCTATGAAGCCACGACGCGTTGTACTGGGTGGGGGAGGCGCGTGCGAACACCGCCATTGGGGCCTTTGCTGGAGCTCCCGATGGGGCCACGAAACCCTGTCCTGGTTGGGGGAGGCGCATGCGAACACCGCCACTGGGGCATTTTGTGGAGCTCCCAATGGGACACTTGTACTGGGTCGGGGATACGAATGCGCAGAGGCAGAGATGGAAGGAGGGAGGAGGGGGAGGAGGATGAGAGGAGGAACGCGGGGCGCTGTCTCTTCAAAACGAGGACCCAACACCACAGGATGGTAGGGGAAACAATTAGCCTGGCGAAGGACCAAGCGATATGCATGTGTGAATATCTATTGGTCCATGATGCGTGTGAGGGGCATGCCGAGATGGGTGCGGCGGGCGCACGCGAACGCAACCACTTGGGCCTTCGGTGGAGTCCCCCATGCGGCAACGAAACGTGTGAGGGGTGTGCCGACATGGGAGCGGCGGGCGCATGCGAACGCAGCCACTGGGGCCTTCGGTGGAGTCCCCCATGGGGCAACGACACGTGTGAGGGGTGTGCCGAAATAGGAGCGGAGCGGCGGGCGCATGCGAACGCAGCCATTGGGGCCTTCAATGGAGCTCCCTATGCAGCCACGAAGCGTGTGAGGGGTGTGCCGAAATGTGTGCGGCGGGCGCATGCAAACGCAGTCGAAAACATGCTGGTAAGCTTAGGTATGTGTTACGCTTCAAGCGTTGCCATATCCCAGGCTTTGGCTCATATCGCATGAGCAAGAGAGCGAGACGAAGCATGGGATCTGGAGTAAAGGATAGAAGGGGCATCTTCAATTGAAAAGGTATTTTCCGATCTCAGATACCAGTCGCGCGCCTCGGTGAGGCACAGTCATATATTTGGCCGGGCCCGGCTTGAGCCAGGCACGGCAGCGGTACATGCTCGATTTATACCTCGCCTTTAACCTTCTCCGTTTAAAGTCGGAGGGGGAGGAGACGAGCAGGCACCGCACTTCTACATTACGCGGAAAAAAAAAAAAACAGTGCTAAGCAGCAGCGGCTGCCTACAAGGCAAGGGCGCGCGAGTAGCCTCGCTTACGGTTACAATCTCAAGCCATTAGAGTCAGCTAGCGAGGGCCTATACTACTGCCGCACGTAACCATGGAGACTTAGGTTCCTTAGCCTTGTGTAGGCAGCCGCTGCTCTGCGCTTAGCACTGTTTCCGCTTAATTAGAAGTCGCGTTCTTCCCTCCTTCCCCTCCCCCCCCCTCCTCCCCCCCTTCTCCTTTCCCTCTCTCCCCCCCCCCTTCCTTCTTCTTCCTTTCCCCCCCTATTCTTTCCCTATACCTTTTATCCCCCTCTCCCCCCCCCACGGGCCGAGTTTCCTCGCTACTAGAGCGCACCTGCATGCGGGTTTCCCCGCTAGCTCGGGAGGCAGGGCCGTCCTGAGAAGACCTGCCCGCCCTATACGGAGTATGTTTCTTCAGCTCGTGCTTGAAGGATTGCTGGCCGGCCATTACTTGTAGGAGCAACGCGCGGTCAATACTACCTTTGGTATGACCATCGGCAGTCAAATCCCGCGTGTCACACCATTGAACGCTTTCAACGATTCCGCGCTCCATCATCTGGCGGATCCAGCTAATGTGCCCAAGCAGAGTACATTCTGTGGGCTTCTTCAGATCTTTGCTAGACAAAG